ACATTAGCATAACCAACAAAAACTGTTAGTGTGAAAACGACCAGAAGACGTTCACCTGTTGGAGGAAATATATTGTTTACAGGAAAATTGCCGTAGAACTTAACAAACCTACATTTACACCATCGTCATCGTACGAATCCATGAAAGTTCTGGTCGTTTTATTCCAAGAAGTTGAGCAGTGGGGAACTGGACTGGCTTGGAAGGCCGGAAGTTACAGTAGAAGGAAATGGAAAATGATGAAGGAGGAACAAGGATCAGACCCTTAAGAGAAAAGACGGCCTGGACACGGAGCGAGGAGGAAAGAGGGAGAAAAAGATGAAGAGGACATGGAGATAAATGGCAGCGAGCTGTGAGAGACAGTAAAGGCTTGGCTTCCATCTGGCACCGGCCTCTGTGACTGCACTCTCATCTCACATGCTCTTTCAAGTGTGGAGTAGAAAGGCCATCATTTAGCTGCTTTTCCATTGAAGTTGGTGCTCATTAAAGGTGACCTCATCGCACCCCTCTGATCCAGAAGCAGTGGGACCGTTTAGGTCCTTGACACAAGTCGAAACAAGTCGAATAACCGACGATACAATTATTATCCACCAATTTTTCACCACTTCATACGCTCAGAATATCATTACAAATGCAATACAACATTACCGACGTGACCAGAGTTGGAACCAACAAACCTGTTCTTGGATTTACTCACATAATTGTGTGGTTTCTACGTCTATTGGTGAAATGTGGGTATTGCAGAAAAGTCAGAAGTATAACGATAGTAGAAATTAATAGTATAATGCAGACAAGTTTGGAGGGTCGGATTAAAATGCCAAACGGGCCACATGCGGCCCTCGGGCCGTAGTTTGCCCAGGTTTGTGTTAAGAAAATGCTACGTTCCTAAAACTTCTAAATTCAAATTACATCCAATGATAAAAGCAACAGTGAAGTGTAATCCCTGAGACGGAGCTTCTTTACCTCTTACTTTACTGTTGCACAGCTTGGACCAACTTTTTTTTTTGGTGGAAAAATAAGCACTTGATTTATGGCTCTATTGTACAGTATTGTCCATGCATGGCCGCTCACCGTGACAGCAGCAGTAGCAGCAGCAGCAGCGGCAGCAGCAGCTCCGAGTGAAAACACAGCAGCTTCTGCTGCATCTTTATGACAGTCGGCAAACAATAATACACCTGCGACTGCGGGCTACACAAACGTTGTCACGGCGGAGGCGAATCACTTTGATTAATGTCTGTTAGGTGAGTCCCAACACTTCATTATCTCTTAGAGGTATTAAGGAGCCTGTGTTTGGACTCACAATTATTTTGTTGCTTTCATTCTGATATGGAACACAATCTCCTAAAGTCTGTTTACCTTATTGGCCCGTGGCAGTTTTACATCATTATTTCTCACTCAAACATTTGCCCTTCTGCAACAAACTACAAACTACAAGGTCTGATGCAGTTGTTTGTTTTTTTTTTCTTTTGCTTGACTCTGCAAATCTAACATGATTCTTTTTCTGTCTTTTTTTTCCCCCCGCTGCTGTCCTCCCTCCTGCTGCGCTTTTATACGTTCGGATGATGTCGGCCACGGCAGTCTCACGTGAGTACATGTTTTCTGGATCATTGAACTGTTGACCATGTACCTCGACACATACAAATACTGTACCACTGTTCCTGCTTTAGAACAGAGCGACGAGGAAAAACTGCTTTAATGCTGCGTTCACTTAACGGTATTTTAGAGTTTCGTGGAAACAGAGCCTTAACGTATCGTTAGCCATATAAACCTGTGCATACATGTATCTGTACAGAAACATTTTTGTATACGTGTATAGGTGTATACATATAGATACATTTATGTATATTTATATGCATAAATATATATATTTTATATATATTTTTATATATTTATACATATATTTGTGTATATTTTTATATATATTTATACATATATTTGTGTATATTTATATATATATTTATACATATATTTGTGTATATTTATATATATATTTATACATATGTTTGTGTATATTTATATATATATAAACATATGTACTGTATAAAGTAAACATAAAATATATATTTGGATATGTGTCTATAGATGGTGAGCAGCAGTTATAGTAAGTACTAAGGAACTCTGTTTCAAAAGGGCAAATGTTGATGAGGGAATATGAGGCTTGACTTTTATGTTGTTGTTATGCAGATTCATACTCCCTGCTCAGTACACACAGCTGAGGTCGTCAACATTAGCTTAAGTATTTAGCAGTATTAGCTACACTGAGGCATGAGTTGCATTTAGTGTTTCTGTCACACTCGGGAATTTAACCCACAACTTAATACGTTTATCTTCCAGCAGGACTTTAATGATAATTTTGACATTGGTTTAAGTTTCCGTCAAAATGTATTTCTACTTAAATTGAAAAACCCAAATATCAGATATTTGAATCATGAGTCAACAGAAATTTGAGGTCCAGGTTCGTTCAAAGGTGGTTAAGACCGAGGACTCGTTGTCATCGGTGTCTTTGTTTATGTGTGTCTTTGTGTGTGTGTATCTGCAGTTGATTCTAAGAGAGAACTTAGCCAACCACATCTTCCGACTGACAGGGCCGGGAGCCGACCAGGATCCCAAAGGTCTCTTCATCATTGACATCGATACAGGAGACGTGTCAGTCAGCCGCTCACTAGACCGGGAGGCTGTTGACTCCTACCAGGTGTGTGTGTGTGTGTGTGTTATTGTTTGATCTCCCTGTTATTGTGCCTCGGCTCTGTAGCTTTGGTCTCTCCGTCCACCCAGGTCTTCTCTCTCTCTCTTTGTTATGTTTCTGAAATGCTGCTGTTCGTTTCTTCAGGTTCACAAAGGTTCAAGATCTTTCCAACTTCCTTTTTCTTATTAAGAAAAGGCGTCACATCATCTGCATACTGTAATATTTAACATCCCATTAGTGGGAATATTTGATAATGAACCATGAATATTAAGACATACGTCTGGTTTGTTTCACCTAACCTGGAAATTCTTAATGTGTCGAGAAGAAATCATCATTTTCTTAATGGAAGAAACATATAAAAAAAAAGTATTCAGCATTTAGACAAAGAGATCAACACATTTCCTCTGAAAGTGTTAGCATCCGCGCTTCAGTCGGGGGCAAAAAGGTCTCGCATTTAAAAGCTCGTCGCTCGTTATTACACATTCATTCAGGCTTTGAAAGGCGGAACAGACGCAGACATTCCTACATCCACCTGTCGCTCCACAGGAAGCTGACTGTATGAATGTGAGGGCGTTTTCAGGAGGGCACTTTATATCTACACAACTCTGTTTAATTATTATACTTGATTTAAAAAAATATGTTTTCGTAATTATTTCATTTATTATTATTTGCACAAATATTATTATTATTATAAATCTTACAAGTTAATTTGTCTTTCAGATGAGATCTGGGAAATAACTCTTCAGTTACAGCTGAAACCTTTTTTTTTTTTTTAACTTTTTGAGACACTTTTATAGCCAGTTTGTATCACCATCTTTTCAAAACCAGACTTTTAATGTTTTTTTTTCTTCTTTTTTCCTTATCATCACACACATTTCATTGAAATTAAGTTTTCGGGTCCTCTGTGGCTTTGACGAAAATTGGTACGTGAAACTCCGGGGAAGACGAGAGAAGTGTTAAAGAGGACAGAGAATTGTACAGAACCGTACGCTAAAAGGAGAAATTATATATTTATGAAGACAAAAACCGAGTTAAATTAAAAGAGATGAGAAGGAAAGGGCGATAGGGAAGAATAATTGGAGATATCTGATGCCTCAACTTCTAAAAGCCGGCTCACCGACTAAATTGCATTTGGTATAATTTTAATATTCCTCGTCTGCTGAGTTATGATTCCATCAACTCAGATTCACATAACAATATTATCCAGGTACAATTCATTTAAACAAACTGCGAATTTTGTCTGAAGAAGTAATTGAATAAATGGCCTCACAAAGATGTTGTTGTTGTTCAGACTGATCCGAGTCACAGCATCAGACCTTTCATCTACACCAACACAGTGTTCCTTCAATAGTGTTTAAACTTCCTGATTCTTAGCTGACCTATTAGTGTAAGATCAAAATCTGTTACAGTTGATATATCAGAGGATCAGGTGACTCAGAGCTAAGATTGATATTTAATGTTTTAACCAAAGCCGCCATTTTGTCAAGTTTTCCCCATCTGTTTGGACGTTGTTTTCCATTCATTCCTGTTTCTTCCCACAGTCCAAAAACAGACAGATTGGGAATTAAACTGACCTTTAATACAGTATATATGTTGGGATTTTACAAAACAGAGTTCAGTAAATATATCACAAGAATTTGATATAATTTAATATTAAATAAATAAAATATATACTATATGACTAAATCGACTAAATTAAAACTACTCAGTTACAACTGTAATATTTGAATTGAACCTGAAGCCATTAAATTTAACACAGGTTCTGACATCATCTCTGATGAATTACTGGCTAAAAGAAACTGAAACATAAAGAACAAGATCAGTTCTTGTCTTCTCAGTTTGACTTGAACTTGAAATATATTCGACTTATGTGGTGGAAATGTTAAAAAAACAAAAAGGAATCTTAAATGTATTTACTGTTACGAAGATTTGAAGCGACTTATCCGATCATGGTACTTGAGTGTGTGTGCTGCGCTGAAGCTAACAGTTATAAACAGTCATAAACCATAAATTTGTATCGGAGACAAAGTGAAACCAAACACTAAGCTCAAACTGTTTCAGTCACAACCCTACATCAATATATAAATATATATGTACATGCATATATATTCACATCACTTTTAGGACGCTCTGATCCTCGTCTCTAATTGGTTCACTCTTGA